GGATCACGCTACGGTGTTTGTTGAGGGCCAAACTAACGAAAACGCGTTTTAAACTGATTGGTCGCCCCCCCCCACACACACACACCATATAGTAATAAGATATACGTTTTGCTCGATAGGCACAATTGGAGTCAAAAGGTGAAATTTCTTGAAACGAAATACGATCACATCCACAAAATGGAATAGCTACTGGAACAACAGCGCCATTTCCTTCAAAAAACGTCCTTCTTGCTGTTCCGTAATTGTTAGTTGTCGTTTTTATTGTGGAAATGTATTCATTGAAAAAGAACGAAATTCGACAAGAGGTAATACTAAACGTTGTCAATAGTTATTTGGCGACCATCACGTGAGGGTTGCAGCGGCACGTGCGCATGCGCGTTGTCGACGCTGATTTGTTGAACGCGACGTTCCTCCACGACGGGGCGTCGTGGGATTTGATACGTTCGCCCCCTTGCAACAACAGTCCATGTCGACAATCCTGGAGTAGCTCCTGTGAAGTGGACTTTTCAGTCAGTCGTCGTTTAACCTCACAGCATGGCGCAGCCGGCGGAAAAAGGTACGTCGGAGCCGAACGCGCGATCCCTCTCTGCGGAACCGGCCCGCTCAAATGAGCAACTCGGCAAATTTGACCGCGGGGCCGAAAGGCATGAATAGGAACGGAAGAAAAGGCGTGGAAGTGGATGAATCGATGCAAACGGAAACGAGGCCTGTTTTCCAGGGACTCGGCGTGCGAAGTCGCCTAACTCGCCATTGAAAACAGGACCGCGTCTTGAGAGCCTGCGCGAAACGCCACACGCTGTATGAGGGATGTCGTGAACATTGGTGGGCTTTGCCCTACTGCGCGATGGCAAAGGAAGGCGACCGCCGAAAGACGACTAGGATAGGCTCCGGCACGCCCGCGACCCTAGTGAGGAGAAGCCCTTTGCATCTAACACGTGCGGTGTCAAACTCAGGCCCCGGGGGGCCAAGTTTCCCTGTTGCAACACCCTCCAGGACCGGAGTTGGACACCTGTGACCAAAGCGCCCGGCCTGATGGATGGCAGGCCGGGCCGGGCGCTTTGGTCTGAAACTACAGTCTCACCTTTTGTCTCGCCCCCCCCCCAAAACAAAAAGATCCTATTTGCCCCACGTTTCTTTGAAAAGGCTCATGACAGCGACGTATTTACTCTTGAAAGTCGCAACCTGAAATTGGGCCCCCGCGTTGAGCGCCATTGACTGGAGCGTTGCCTTCCGCGGGGCTCCCTTCTCGCCTTGCCGCTCGCAAAAAGGCCTCGTGGAAAAGGTCGCGCCGGCTCACGTGAGCCGCTCGTTTGCGGGGGTTGCTCGTCGTTCCCGAGGCGGACGTCGTTGCTGGTTTGCCAACCGCGCTCTCGTTTGTAAATTTGCAGCCGTGTTGTCAGTCGTCCGGGCCAGCGAACTCTCTTCATGGGGTCAAACGTCTCTTTTCCAGGTTACTATCGCTTCGTGGTGCTGTTCTTCAATTGCCTGCTGACCTTCGGCTCCTACTTCTGCTTTGACATGCCCAGCGTCTTGCAGAACCAGTTTCAAGGGGTATCCAAAGTTTGGCCGAGTAGAATCGTCGCGTCTCGCGAATGGCACGCGATGAACTCGGCTCCTTCTCCCGCCACTCAGAACCTGACGTGTCCCGATGCGACGGCGGACTGCGCGGAGGGCCTGGGGATGACGCCTCGGGAGTACAATCTTCTTTACGCTATCTACGCGTGGACGTAAGTACGCGCGCGCGACGGCCGTCGGGCTCCCGGCGCCCTTTGGGGGGGCGGAACTTTTTCTTCCGCCGGCCCTCAAATGCCACGCCTTCAAAAAGCCGGCGGTGTCACCCAAAGGACAAACGGCGAGCGTACCCGAGGTCAACGTTAGCCCGCGCGAACAAGCCACCTCCGGCTGTTAGCCCGCAGCCAATTAGCTTCCATCATTGACAAGCGTTTCAACCAACGTGTCTCGGGCAACTTCCCGGACTCGTTGTGAACTTGACGTTTGCGCAGGAAACCATTTCGCAGGACAGAACGCACACAGGCGTGACAAAAAGTTCCACGGGCCATCTTTGCTCTGCCCTTTTTAAAATGATGCGCCGTGATGTCTCGTTCTTTGTATTTGACGGAGCTCCTTGGGGGCCACCCCCTTTGCTCCCGCTTGCAAAGGTCTGCCGCCCCCGTCGCGCATGTTCAACGTCAACACGGTTGGATCCTGTTTTCTCTCCTCCTCAGGAATGCGGTCGTGGTGGTCCTGGCTGGCTTCCTGATTGACAAATTGGGAAACCGATGTAAGACCATTTCAATCTTACTGTGTCGATGACATCGCGACTATACGCAAACAAATGAAAGAAATCATGAAAAGTGACCAAAACAAATCATGAGAGCTAATGGGAAGCGAGTGAAAATGTCCTTTGTTTTCATGTTTGTCAGCGATTAGCTTTCGGGGTTCATTTCATTGTCCTCTTGATGACATCTCGGGCTGATATCAGACGCGACCCCCCGAGCGCTCACTCTGCTCAGATATCATCACTCGCGGCTAAGGGGCGCGTTTGCGCGTTAACGGATTTTGTTGCCGTTTCCGTCAACACGGTCGGGTATGTCCTGAAAGGACAATCCATTTCACTCGACTGACGTCGAGTGGAATGGATTTCAAGCAAGATCCTGAAAAACGGAAAGTGGAAACGCAGCCTGCTTTTCCATCTGGATTGCGAGACATCGATTTCTTTTTGGGTCCGTCTTGACTTCTCTCCTTCTTCCATTTGCGTGCAGCGTAAGAGCCGCTCATCGTCATCCTCTTGAACAAAGACGTGCGAATGTTGGACCGGCGTCGGTAGCCAGCGTGCATGAGGCGGAGTCCTGTTCTGTGACTTTGGTGTGTGTGTGTGTGTGTGTGTGTGTGTGTGTCTCCCCGCAGTCGGAGTGTTCCTGTTCTCCTCCTTGTGCGTTTTGGGCTCGTCCCTGTTCGCCCCGGGCTCCCAATTCAAAGGAAGTCCCTACCCTTCTTCCATTTGCGTGCAGCGTAAGAGCCGCTCATCGTCATCCTCTTGAACAAAGACGTGCGAATGTTGGACCGGCGTCGGTAGCCAGCGTGCATGAGGCGGAGTCCTGTTCTGTGACTTTGGTGTGTGTGTGTGTGTGTGTGTGTGTCTCCCCGCAGTCGGAGTGTTCCTGTTCTCCTCCTTGTGCGTTTTGGGCTCGTCCCTGTTCGCCCTGGGCTCCCACTTCAAAGGAAGTCCCTACCTGCTGCCCCTCATGCTCACGGGACGACTCCTCTTCGGATCGGGCAACGGATCCCTGACCAGTAAGGGCTCGCCGTCAGCTCGCGCAACCCGGCGCCGCATCGAATCAGACGCCGGCGGTCCCGGGACGAGTTAGCCGGCCGCAGGTCTGCGGCGGATCCCGACTTGAATCGCGCTCTCCTCCCGGAGTTGTCCAGAACCGCATCACCGCCTTCTGGTTCAAGGGGAAAGAACTGGCCTTAGCCTTCGGGCTGACCTTGGCCTTCTCGCGCCTGGGCTCCATCCTCAACTTTTTCCTCACGCAGCGCTTCGAGGCCAAGTTTGGCATGCAGTGGACCCTCTGGGGCGGTGAGTGGAAAGACGCGGCCGGACGCCGTCGGCCCCGCCGCCTCGCTGCCATTTTGCCCCTTTTGCAGGCGCGCTCCTGTGCGCGCTGGGCTTGATGTCGGCCGTCGTCGTCAGCTCCCTGGACAAGGTGGGAATGAGGCAGCTCGGTCTCGACGGGGCCATCCGAGAGGAGTCTCGCAAAGTGGTACGACCCGACCCGACCCGTGACGTACCCCGTCTTGGCTTCCACCAACTCCTGCTTTAGGATGAGTCTTTTTGTCCGTGCAGAGGATCGGGGACGTGAAGCGGCTGTCCCTGAGATACTGGCTGCTGGTGCTCACCATCATGTTCTTTTACAACGGCATTTTCCCCTTCATTGCCGACGCCAGGTATCGGAAAAGCAAAGCGGGCCAGCGGGCGGCCTTTTCCAGACGCTCACCTTTCGTGATTTGTCGCGCAGCAAGTTTGTGGAGGACAAGTACGACAACTACACTCAGAGGGAGGCGGCCTACGTCGCCGGCGCCGTTTACGACAGCTCCCTCGTCCTCTCGGCCAGCGCCGGTGTTCTCATTGTAAGTTTTGCTTCTTACCCGATTGTGGGGAGGAGGCTTTCTTTATTCTTTTTTTTTGGGGGGGGGGGTGAAAAGCGGTCAGTAGCTAACTTTGTTTGTGCCGGTGCGTTTTTCAGGATTACGTGGGTCTGCGGGGGATTTTCGCCGTGGCCTGTGCCGTGTTGACGCTGCCGGTGTTCGGACTGCTGGCCTTCACCTTCGTGGCCCCTCTGGTCTCCACCATCTGGCTGGGGGTCACCTACTCCTTTGCTGCTGTCAGGAAGCCTTCTTTTCTCATTTCCTCCATCCATCCCCGTTCTCATCCGCTTCTCCTCGGTGGGGGGGCGGTCGCGGGCGCGCCGGGGCCTCTCTCGGCCGTCTTCGCGCAGTAAGCGGGCGACACGTCGACGAACGACCGTTCGCGCTCAAACTCGCACCTCGGGACACTTTCCAGTGTTCTTTCTCATTTCCGTCATTGGTATTTTCCTTTGTAAAGTCATTCTCAACCGCTTTCCGTATTCATTGAATTTGTTTAGATTTTCCTCGATATCGAACGGCATGCAATCTTTTTTGGGAGCATCCATACCTCTTCTTCCCTCCTATTTCATTTTCTTCCTTTCTTTCATAAGTATTTATAGTAAGCGTGCATTTATTTTATGCATTAACCAATACAATAACGCTTGGTGAGGGGGGAAAAAAAAATAGAATTTTCAAAGAATTATTTTAAATCTGACAAAAAAAAATTCCAAGCTTTATGTGGCGCATTACTGTCATTATTTGAAATTAGCTTTTTTTTTAAAAAACTATTTCTCGAGTTCTTACGTGATCATGCAATCGGCTGACAACTTCACGCCATTCAGCCCTTTTTTTGGGGGGGGGGGGGCAGAGTTTGTCCGTAATTGACACCTCACTCAAAGGTTTTGTCATAGGTGGTGCCAAAGCACTACTTTGCTTTGCCTTGTCCGATTGGAGCTCTTCCCCCTCACGTCAGTGTGGTTCCTCAACATCTAGATGGCTTGTAGCAGACGGGGCTTTGGGGGGGGGCCCTTTTGCGGCTTCTCAGGAGGTTTCCCAAAAGGGATTCATTCGCCGGGAGGGAGGGAGGGATCGATCTCTTGAGAGGCTGAAGTTGCTGTTGGAGCCGTAAGAGTCGGCCACGGCGCTGTGTTGCAGGCAAGCATGTGGCCATCTATTCCTCTGGTGGTGCCTCAAGCCACCGTGGGCACCGCCATGGGCCTCGCGACCTCCGTCCAGATGATCGGGATCGGCATCTCCAATCTGGTTGTCGGCCAGATTTTGGGCACCGAGTCCAGGTAGGAAAGCGCGGCCGCTCCGTTCGGGTGCATAGCGAGCGTTGCCGTTTGCCTTTTCCCGTCCACTCAGCGACAGCAAGATTCCGCTGTGGCGGTGGCAGCGGATGATGATCTTCATGTTGGCCAACACCGTCGCTTGCATCGTCACGTCGTCGCTGCTCAACGTTGTCGATCACAGACAGGTCCCGCCTCTTTTCCTCCACGTCGTCTCTTGGAAACGTTTGCTATTTGGGAGTGTCGGGAGGCTCGAGTCGGATCTGAATCGCCAACCTTAGAGCGCGGGCCTTCCGCTGCTCAATTGACTCAAGCGGGGCTTGCGGATCACGATGCTTTGGGGGCTGGCGCATCCGGTTACGGGTCCTCCCGCCGCCTCCGTTTTTTAGGACTAAACCGTTTTTTTTTTAGGGCGGGACTCTGAACAAGTTGACCAAAAGATCGGCACGGGCCGAGAGGGAGCCTGACACGGAGCCGCTGTCCCGCGGAGAGCAAGCGGAGGACGAGGACGAGGATGAGCCGCCATCGCGCTCCATCAACTCCTGACTTCTCCAAAGTCCTCAAGTTTGAACATTTCTCTCAACCTCCTCCCTATTTTTTTTAAGCGATTTGATTTTTGATTATGATTTTAGGGAGGCTGGGGGGGGTTGATTGAACTTCAAGGATGTTGACAAGAACCCCCCAAAAATCTAGTAGATCCTTGATTATTCAAGGGTGTAGTAGATTGCTTTTTTTTTTTGTACTCAAAATGTATTGTGATGATGATTTTAACAATAATGTCGAGGTAGATAAAGAAAAGATGATCCACACAAATCAAATCATCAAGCACGTTGTATCGATCACAACACAATGACGGTTTATGTTGCGACAGCGCTATAGTTGAGCGACTCTCGGTTTGATTGCCAACACGTCCACTGTGGCCAGTGATTTATAGATGCTCCTGAATAAGGGAATTCAATCAGATTAAAAAAAAAAAGTGTGTGCAGATATGTCCTTGATGGTCTTTGCAGGAGCTCATTTGAAATCTCTGCAGATGTTTTTTTTTTTTTTCTCAAACATAACCGTAAATATGTTTAAAATAAATTTTTCTAAAAGTACCAGATTTCTCCTCTTCATGAGTGAACTGAAGTGCGTGCGTGCGTGTGTGTGCGTGAGAGAACATTGCCAAAGCACGTTTTCCAAATTCCAGCCTGTAGGTAGAGCTATGACATTTAGTTGACATTATTCCAACTCCTATTGATTGCATTAATGCATGAATCCCCCCGCCCTGTCCAAAAGAAGCTGGGGCTTCTGCCCTCACGACCTGGCTCTTAGTCCAGCAGACAATCTGTGTGGATTTGAATCCATCGCAAGCCGAGGCAGAAAAGCGGCCCAAATGGCGAGCTTGTCGGCGGGCTCTGTGGCGCAGGCTTGATTGAACCACTTGCGCTCTTTTGAGTCGGATTTAGCAGCCGGCGCATGGATTGGCGGTTTGAACTTTGAGCGCCCCGTCATCCGCTGTAAGTGCACAAACGTCGCGGGGGGAACAAAGCTTTTTATTGATTTAACGGGGGGGGGGGGGTGAGGGGAGGGGGGGTCAGAGCATGGGGACCAGGCCATTTGCCGCGACGCTCCTGCTGATGTCTGTCTCGCCACCGCAGCTATTTTCTTGCTTTCCTTCCTCAGCTGCCGTTCCGGGATGGCGATGGCGACATACTTGGAAGAATGTTACCCGAAAAATTCCGCGTTCACCGTGAAGATCAGCGCTAAAAATACACCCGCCTTAATCTTCTTACAGGACCTGTGCGGCCCGACGGACCGCGCCCGCGCGCGCGCAGGTTGATCCTGGAGCGCGAGCTCATCGGAAGCCCGACCTCCATCCAGGGTCCGCTCGGATGGTTTCTCGGCTGGAGGGGCTGTGCCGCCCGGACTGCGCGGACAAGATGAGCGCGTCGGGCCGCCTCGGCCTCAACAGCCTGGGCCGCATCTGCGGAACCGGGCCGGGCGAGGACTCGCCGCGGGCCAAGGGCAAGAACTCGGTGAGGCGCATGTCCGTCATCGAGGACGGCCGCGTCGCCGAGGTGCTCTACCTGATCCCCAAGCGCTGCGTGATGGAGCAGCTGCCGCTCCTCAATCCGCACGACTACGTCCTGTGTGAGAAGTTGGCGGCCATACCCGCTGATGTGTCAGGTACGCGCAGGCGCACGCTCTGCTTTTTTGAATGGGGGGGGGGGGGCTTGTGCCTTCCTTTGGCGTTTACCTTTTGCTCTTTTTGTTTTCTTGAAATTGTATTCCTTTTAATTGCAACTTCAGATGAGCTCCAAAATAGCGAACTGAGGTCATGTTTCGCCTTTTTCCGAGGGCCCAAGTGCTCGCGACAAATTCGACGCCTTTTTTGATCTCATAGAGCGACCACCGCGACTTTGTCACGGTAGAGCATACTGAAGAGAGAAAAAAAAGCAAACTTCCCAGCGATGGATGATTTCATTTACACCCGCGGCCTTCATTTAAAGCGCACGCCGCTGCCGGTGCTCTCGGACCGCCCCCCCGCCCCGCCCCCTTTCGCCGCACGCGTCACCCTGAAGCGACGGTCCGGCTTGCTTCCGTTCTCGCCTTGGTCCGCCGCAGTCGACGTTTGTCCTCGTCAAAAGACGTGCGGCCGGCCGGCGCCATGAAAGAGCAAGGTAGCGTGCGCGTGCGCGGGAGACGTTTTGCTCGTGGAAATGATGCGGGGCGGCTTCAAAGCTTCCTCGCGCGATGCCTTCTCATTTGGCAGCGCGCACCACATTCTTCTCGGTGCTATTTGGAGCGCTTTGCTTTGTCTGTCTGGTTTGGAAAGCGCTTCCGTCAAACTGTTTGGAAATGTGCGCTGTATTGATGCTGCGGCAACGCGACGGCGATTCGTCCCCCCAGTTTATTTGTAGAGCTGCAAAGTTTCCAAAAATGTCGCGCCGACCCAAACTTGCGACGTTGACGGAAGTCACAAAGGGGAAAAGCCGCTTCCCAGCTTCTGCTCCGATCCGTCTCGCCCTCAACCTCAGCGTGCGTCTTTCCAGAAATGAGGGAGAAAAGAATTCAGGAAATGGCTCCTTTCGACCACTTAGTGTTTTGTTTGTGGGGGGGGGGGGGGTTAGGTAGGCTCCTGTATTCTTTCGTGAACCGTCCGCTGAGTCAGGGTGACTCTTCTTTCACTTGCGCCGATAAGTGGAGGAAAACGCTTGCCTCCTTCCGCGTCTTCCTGAGCTGACCCCCGTGACCCTTTTTACTGACACGTGACGCATAGCCAAACGGCCTCCCTACTTCTCTGGAAACGATTGCGAACAACGTTGTGAAAGACTTCCCGTCCGCCCGCGCCAAAATGAACTGCGATCCTCCAAATAGATCCTCGGCCGCGCGCGATTAAGCGGCCGTCTCGGGTTTCTCTCGGGCTTTGCCGTCTTTCTAAAAACGCCGCTTGCTAAGACGTGACATACGATATGATATGAGCATCTGCACCAAAGTGCGGTTCGCTTTCGGCGTGCTCACGCGCAACGTCGAAAACCTGCGCTCATCCACCCGCGGATGAGCGGCCCGAGCCGGAGGAGAGCACAACCCGCGAACATCAACCTGTGCGAAGCGTCTTCTTCTAATCTCCTTTGTGAGCGCCTGCGCGCCGGCTATTATCATGGCAGCAAATCCCTCCTGTTGCGGGGCAGATTTGGGGTCGCGTACCCACCTTTCACAAGGCCGCGTGTTTGCGTTTGGCCAAGGGAAAAAAAATGTAAAAGAAAAAGAAAGCCATCCATACAACGCTGCCGATGTCAGACGGGACTTTTCCCGTGGCCTGAGACGACATCGCACGGGTGTGCCCTTATTGCGGCCTCGAGCGAGTGTGTGCAAAGATGGAAGGCTGACTCCCCGCGCCGTCTCGCCCGCAGTGCTTCACACTCGCCCTCCCGCGGCCAAGCCGCTCATCAGATGCGTCAGATGCGGGGACGTCTGCAAGGGCGAGGTGCTGCGAGTCCAGGCCAGTCACTTCCACGTCGCCTGCTTCACCTGCAAAGGTGGGTCCGCCATTCCGACGAAAGCGCCCCGGAAAGCGCCGGCAGCGGCCGCCAAGGGCTCCGCGCCGCTTCCGGCGGTCGGTGGCAAAGAGCGCGTTCCCTTCTTGTGAATCCGCGAGCGTTTTTGGACCCGTTTCCTGAAAGCGGATCATCCGATAGCTCGATGGAGTCACGGCGCCGGTCAGATCTTTCATTTTAGGGTTTGGCTTTTGGATGGCGCGACCCCGAATCGGAGCAAAGGCGGCTGCCGCTCAGGCCTTTTTGCAAAACGGTCCCTCTTCGATGTCGCCGGACAATCGCACGCTGGAGCGAGGGCGGCACGGGACTCGCGTTCACTCGGCAGGCCCGCCCGCGTCTTCACCCGATTCTCTTTTTCCGAGCACGATTCCGGTTAAGATCGCATGCAAACTATTTTCTTTGAAGAAAGATGCTATATCCTAGACTGGAGAAAAAAAAAACAATCACATTTACCTTTGCACTTGCCCCAAAAAATTGCCTAAGCGCAGGAGTTGAAGAATGACTTTGGCCAGAATGCTTCTGTCACTTTCCGTACTTCTACTGAAATACTTGTGCCGCCTCGACAAATGTTGGCAAGCGGCTATCCCCCCCCCCCCCCCCCATTTAATGTGGCAAAAAAGGCT